TTTGACATGCCTCTAAAAATAGATTCATACTCTTTTTTCTTTCATGTCAAAAACTTTCCTTTGAGAGGCAACTTAGTTTTGGGAAAAAAAAAAAAAAAATCACAAGAAGACAATTTAAAAACAGCAGGACGATTGGAGTACACATACTATTTTCGATCAGCGGTTCTCCGTTGGTTATTGAATAATGAAAATACATTGTCATGCCATACAAAACATTTGGTTACGTTTCTGACTGAATAACCAATAAAAGTTCATCTGCTTAATTTCACAGCCATTTACAAGTCAACTACTCGGGCAGTTGCAGAATCGTTTTGATTTTGAGCTTGTAAGACAAACCTAATATCGCTGGATTTGAACACTTCTTTAATCTTCCGAGAACATCCCTTCTTTAGCTCATAATCCAAGAATATTAAGTGAATACAATTATTGCAAGATAAATTGAATATTCATTTCGACTATGGCTTGGTAGTTTGCTAATGAGTTAACAAAACTTCAATTTTGCTTTTTGTGTCTAAGAATATAACAATATGTTAAATATTTACAAATAAAATATTAAATTGGGAATTTAATTGGAGCCTCACCAGTTGGCCGTAGCATTTGAAGATTGTTAAATACTAATTGTTTGTTGCGAAAGTCTTAACCCAGGCTGCATGGTTGGTTTTCGTAGTTTTCTACGTTCTTTTTACAAAGTTCCTCTATAAAAGCATCTTAGCCAAATAGGTCCCATGTTCTTTCTATGTCCAAATAACCAATTAACCTAATTTAAGTGCGATTTCCAGTTGAAGTTACTAGAAAAAGCCGAACACTCATTAAAATCTTGTAGCTGCCAATCGGATAACATGAAATATACGGCGCCATAATTGAATTGCTGTTCGGTCGCTGTTTCTAAACTAGATGGCATCCTTAATTAAATATAATTATTTGTACTTCTATTAAGCGACGATAAAATGAATGCAAAAACATATCGCGTACAATCTTGATTATATAAAATTGAAACTTTCCATTCGGAACCGAAGTTTTTTTCAAATATTTCATACTTTATAAGAAGGATTTATTATAACCGTAATAATTACTATTATATTACTGATGATTAGAATTCAGTTCTTGACAATTACTTCTAATTAGAATTTTAGGATTAATGAAATACGCTACGCATAAAATACATTTTGATAAAATAGTGATTTTTATGTTTAAAAATTTCTTAAATTCATTTAATAAACATCGTACCCCTGTTGTTAATTGAATCCAGAATTTGGTGTCGTTTATATAACTATTCTTACTTGTCCACAGAACCTGCTGACTTATCCAGCCATTAAGTAGCTGCAGATCATTTCTACATAACCATTGAACTTCCATTAATTCGGTCTCTAGAGGGTTGCATGTTGATATCATAATTTGACTTTATAAATGAATAATAAATTTATAATGAATTTATAAAAATGATTATTCTAAATCTTATGTTTCTATAAAAATATACTGTTCTTTAAAAATATGGATGATAGTATCAGCCGCTCTTTCAGCCACTTCATAAGCAACAGCTTGTTTAGAAATAAATTATGCAGTTAATGTCATAAAATATTTTCGTAAAATTCAAATACACATCAAAAGTTCTCAGTTTTAGACAATTCGATTTAAACGAAGTTAAAGTAAAGTAGCAGACGATAAAACGCGGAAGATAAAAAATTACTCTTATAATTTTTTTTTAAAGAAGAAAGAGAGAAATTAAAAAAACAGTTAAAAATTTTAATAATATCATCTATAATTAAAAAAATAGCTTTTCATATAGTATTAATACATATTTATTATGTATCATTGAGGGAAAAAATTTCATATAATTAATTCTCCGTAAAATTTCACTTGAAATTTAAGGTTAAAAATAGCTGTGGCAATTCACTGTAACAAAAATCCATAAATCACATTTGGCGTTATTATCGCACAAAAAAGATGCCAAATTTCAAAACGCGAAAATATGTAAATTCGTGTATATCTTAGAAAATTTTGAATAAAAAAGTCTAATTTTTTGCAGGTATGCTTAGAAACACACTTACTTTAAGATGATGGTAAAAATTTTACAGGTTATAATTCAAAATTTTTTTCGAAAAATTATTTAAAAATAGATATTTAAAAAATAAAACACAAAAAATTGGTAAATTTTATTTGGAATGAACCTAAATTTCGAATGTGAAAGGAAAATAATAAAAGTTTAATAAAAAAAGAGATATTAATAAATATTTACCAAATTCAATTAACATTAAGGAGCTGAAATTTTGAAAGCTAATATTTTAAAAACTACTCGTACGATTTTTACAAAACTTGGTATTCTGGCATAATTTGAGTCGTAGATTCGAAATATGGAAAAAAAATTGGTATGTTATTTCAGAAAAAGTCCGATTTATTGTCAAAATACCTATGTTAGAATAGTGATTTATATAAATCTAATAAATATATATATTAAGTCGCGCTTTCGAGACATGAAAAACGCAGTTTGAATTTTGTCAATCCGCCCAGTAGAACGGGAGATATAGTGCTGTCCCCCCTTTTCTTTTTGAGCAGTGTACATTTCGTTTGCGTCAATCATATGTTCAAAGAGTGTTCAACTGTAGCGCGAAAAGTTTCTGAATCAGTTGCAGCAATATGATGTGTTAAGCTTGCTTTCAGTTCAGGCACAGTCAGTATGCTTCTTCCATAAACACAATCTTTCAGGAATTCCCACAACCTGAAGTCACAATGATTCAAGTCTGGAGAATGAGAAGGCCAATCAGAAAACTTCTTGAAATTACTAAGTATATTCAATGTGGGCATGAAGCAGTGCGTTCAATGGTCTGGCAATATGGGGTGGTGCATCCTCTTCCATGAAGACAGCAGTCTTTAAACATTCTCGCTCTTGTAAGGCAAGAATGACTTGATGCTGAATAAATTTGCAGTAACAGACAAAGAGGAGGCCTTTGAGGGTCCTGAGGAGTATTCTTCTCAAAGAAAAAGGGCCCAAGAATGAAGTCAGCAGTAAAAACTAATGTAATCAAAATGCAGTCCATTCATGCACAACATAAGGACTCTTTACAACAGATCGCCGAACCTTTCGTATTGTCGACCAAGGGGGGAGACATATCACATGAAACCGAACACTTGTCAAAGAATACTGGGATCTCGATACTCCCTCGGCAACAGCAAGAGCGATTTTAATAGTTACATTCAAAATTCCTTTCCGTCCTTTTCCTTTGAGCAAACACAACTCCCCTGTTTCTTCAACTTTAGTAAACATGTTTTTCAAATCCTATCTCGACATAGGCCCTTTCCATAAGCCTTTCAAATGTCGATATTCTCATAGTCCAGTTGAAAAATTACTACTATTCTGATAAAATAACTTTATCAGTAAAGCTGGATATTTCATCTCTAAACGCACGTGAAGAATGATTTTACGGTATTGACTACTGACCTTTTTTAAAACTCTCCAAATCTGCATAACTTCGTTTCTATATTGCATGAAATGTGCCACCTGTTGGCCTAAATTAGTACCATTAATTATCATTTCAGATTTCTTTTCCCTATGGTGCGTATACCATGTATGCCAAATAGGTCTACCAGAACAGGCTTTATGTGGGTCTAAATAGGGGAACACCCATTAAAATATGCAACACTAAAAATCTGATGAGGACACCATATCACTTCCTTTTCCGCCTATTAAATTATACACATTTTTGCAGTATATATCATTTAAACTTTTTGCCACCAATTTCATTATAGATATATTTCTCATTCAATTAATTAAGTTCTCAACTCGCGGAAAGACAAAAATACATAAAACTCAAAACATCTCATTAAAAATTGCACACTACAGAAAAACATAAAATATTTTTAAAAATATATACGATTAAAATTACAGTTTTTACGCAAAAACAAGCAATTCGGCCAGCGGGCAAGAAGGAGACATTTCGGCGCACAAAACTGAAAGTTTACTTTTGGTTCCACTCATCAGAAAGACATTGAAGGTGCAGAAACTGACTTAATTCACTATTGTACTAAAACGTCTCAAATGGCAGTTATGTTAGGCTGAGTAGCACTTGAACAATATTAAGTTGTTGATAATTATACAGCTATTGCATGCAGATTAACTAAAGGCATAAAAACGTTAACTGGCACATAAGAACAACATAATTCAATCGCTTTTAAAGCAAAAAAATGCACTTTTTACCAACATATAAGAATAAAAAAAACCCTGAGCTCACACAGCTGGGTAACATAGTGAGTATACATACATACATATATATATATATATATATATATACTTTTGGTGCCACCGATTGCAAACAAAAAGGAAGGTGCAGGAAGAAGGTTAATTACATGTTATTACAGTACCATGCACAAAATTTCAACGTTCTGAGACTACTCATTTTTGATTATGGAAGATACATACGTAGGTAGGTACAGATGTCACGAAAAAATATCTTCTGAATCCATTTTACAATCTGTTTTTGGGAAAAGAGTCCTTTATTATTGTTCGTCGAACAGATGCCATGCAAAAACATCGCTGAAATGGATTCAACAGCGGTCAAAATGGATATTTTTGTCGTAATATGATAATTTTTTGCGATTACAATACTTCCTTTACTCCGTAAAAGGCAATAAAAACCATGCAAAATATTAATGTTTCCTATGTTTGAAAATAATGTTAAAGCATATTAAAATATATTTCAGAAATAAAAAATGACTATTTTATATATGAGACGTTTGCTTTAATGCAAAAAGTGTAATTTATGTGCAAAAAGTGAATTTTAAAAGTTAAGACTACGGAACTCCTGTTTTGATAATTGCACTACTGATTCTATTCACTTATTCATTATACCTTCTACAATCTTTATGTAATCTAAAATAAAATTATGCATTTACCTAGAGCTGATTTACAAGTTGTATAGTCGATATTAAATATAAACTTTCATGTTTTATATTGAGTACAAATATAAAGAAGGCAAGATAACACCAAAATTAAAAAGGTAACATACCTGCGAACTTTTCCATGTTGAAAACTGAAATAAAACAGAAATTTAGGAAAAGAAATAATTTACAGCATATACTTATAGTTAAATGATTCAGCACTTTATTATTTATATATTTCTGGTATTGGCATTTATAACTGAAAGATTTCTTAACATTCAAATAAAGCTTTTCATTCAGGTTAAAAAAGGTTTGTATCAAAATACATCTTATTAATGCTACAGTATAAACTTTTACTTATTATGGCTGACTGAAAAGTTTTTAAAACAGCCTCTATTTCCCTTTCCCTTTCCCAGAGTTAGCTGTGGCAGTCTTATACTGGGCTTTGGAAAGACCATATGTCTATGTGTCTGAATCTGCATTTACACAGCCATGGCTTTCAATATTTGGTCATGATGAAAATAGGCACCTTGTATGTTTCAGTGTGGTAGCTGAGGAAAGTGCGAAAACATAACACAGGTGCAAACAAATTTTGCATCAAACTTGTACAAGTACACATGAAACATCAGAAACGTCTTAGGATACATGTGTTGGTAAATATTTGGCTGAACTTCAATATTTTAATGTTGGAGGCAATGCAAGATGATTCTGGAACTTCAAACATGCTCAGTTAACAAGCATATTTTTGGCCGGCTTTCTACTGCAGTTATGGAAATAAACATTGCCAACCCAGAGAGGTAAACAACTATGAAAATCCATCTGGTGAACTAGTAAGGATGATAAAATTGTATTTACTTGAATAACAGTGTTTCCTTTGCTGCAGGACAATAAAGAGTACTTAGAGTACCTTAGATCACTTAGAAAATCATCCAAGTGATTTTCGGGCATTTTGAACACAATGATATGGGCAGAAGTTCCCTTTAGATGAAGATACTAAATTATCACTGCTCCAGAGACAAGGGATGTCACATATATATTCCATTTCATCTTTTTGAATCATTCATAAAAGTGCAAAAAATGTCATTTAAAGTTAACAAAGCAAAAAAAAAAAAAAAAAAAAAAAAAAAAAAATGCATTTAAAGCAAAAATGTTATTTAATGCAAAGGATTTTATTTTGAAAACGAAAAAAATATGAAGCCATAAAATCATCTAGTTCTGAATGAAAGATTAAAAATTTTCAGTCAGCCTACATAACTCATTTTGAATTTAATGAATAAATTAAAAATAATGTTTAATACAGTATGAAATGTTTTATTATATCAAATGTTTACATTAATACAAATAATTTAATACTTGCTTCCTGATTAAAAATTTCAAAACAGCATTCATGCAGTTTTGAAATATCTTATTCACTATTTCAGAAATTCTGCTTCTATTTATCCTTTGCAACCCGGAATTGAATGTGTATTAATACAAATCATTTAGTAGTACTTGCTTATGCAAATAATACACAAAAAAATTCTTCCATGTAAAAGATGTTTTTTATAGCAATGTTACCTGGAAATGAAAAAAGCAGAAAACTGCAATCGACCATCATACTATAATACTTTTATCCTTCATACGAATTAAAATCTACACTTTTGCAATATAAAAAATTGGAAGAAATTTAGACTTTGCTGGATTTCTTCAGGTACAACATTGGAAAGAGATCTTTTGCTATTGCACTATCAAATGTTTTTATGCATTGTATGCTCATGTCCATAAATTAAGGATAATGCAAAATCAGGCAAAGGAAGAGTTAGAAGCAAAACAAATTTGACTTATTTGTAAAGCTTATTTATTAAACAGAAGGTAAAGAGCAAAAAAAGATGCTATATGTTTGATATTATTAAAAAAATTAGCAATTTTTTCTCCCTGGAGCGAATTACAAAAAAAAAAAAAAAAAAAAAAAAAAAAACACCTATTTACATAAAACCAATATTACATGGTTGGTATGATTGTTAATACATTGTATGTCTCCCAGACGATGCAATACAGTTCGTACAACGCATAGGCATGCTGAGTATCAAATTATCGATCTGATCTTGGGGAATATAACATCACTCAAAAAGCAATGCTCTCCGAAGTTCCCGTAGACATGTAGGAAGAGGTTGACTGGCTGCAACTCGTCGGCCAAGCATGTCCCACACCTGCTCTACTGGATTCAAGTCCGGTGAGAATGCTGGCGAGTCCATACGGGTAATATCCTCCGATTGAAGGCATTCGCTTACGATGTTTGCACGGTGAGGACGGGCGTTGTCATCCATAAATACAAATTGTGTGCCCATGGCGCCCCGAAAGAAACGTACATGTTGTTCCAGAATGACGTCCCGATAGATTTGGCTAGTCATGATTCCAATTTGAACATGCAGGTCAGTTCTGGAACCCAGAATAATTCCACCCCAAACGAGCACTCCTGCACCACCGTAACGGTGTCGTTCAATGATGTTTTCTTGGTGGTAACGGGTACCCGGAGCTCTCCATATGAAAGTCCGGTGAGAATCAGACTGCAAATTAAACCTGGACTCGTCGGAAAACATCACACAAGCCCACTGTTGCGGTGTCCACAATGCATGCTCTCTACTCCAGGCTAACCGCAGGCGACAGTGAGTTGCAGTAAGTGGAACGCATCTGACAGGTTTACGAGCATATAGACAAATCTGCCCTAAGCGTCTGTACACGGTCTGCCTTGAAATTGTCGTACCAGTGGCTGAAGAAAGCTGACGAGACAGGTCTGAGGCTGTGCTCCGCCTGTTTCTTTTGGCAGTAACTACCAAACACCGGTCCTCATTCGGTGTTTGAAACTCTGGGGCGACCTGTGCTGTAACGTCTACTCACATTACCATCATCTTGGAATCGTTGCCAAAGCCTGGAGATGACACTCTGGGCAATTCCAAGTTCGTCTGATACTTCCAGTTGGGTACGCCCACATTCCAGACGGCCGATAATTCTACCATGTAAAAAATCATCCAAATGTGTCCTTTGTGTCATAGCTATTCGGTTATTGGACTGAAATGCTTATAAAGCGGCTGCAAACAGTTTTACTTCTTTGCTTGTATTCCTTACATATCACTCTCTTACACTCTCGTCATTGTGACGTACCATCCGTGTCATCTGGTTACTTCCTGAAATTTGCATATGATTCTTGAAGATATGTGTTGTGATTTTACAGGTGATATATTTATTTTAGAGTTCGATTTCCACGTGACTCCGAATTATCCTTAATTTATGGACATGAGTGTAAAATAAGTAAATTATTTGAGAAATAATAGAAATATTCATCAAGGAATTGAATCTAGGTCTTGTTGTTGTTGTGACTAATCCTGCTTCTTTGATATTAGAGCAAGCAAACGAAATTCATAGTGGAAGATTGTTCCTTGTGTTGGAAAGAGCCTTGGGCAGCACACAGGTGACACTAAGACTTTTTTCTGTTCCGTTCTCAGATTTGAAGACAAGCACTCTGTCGGGTACGAAGGTTTCTCTCTTCCCCTACCACCAACTTTCGGAGAGGACTCTCGGCTCGCCACATATTTTGAGTAAACCCTGCCACACAGACTCTACACATTTACAAACATGCATGCCTTCTCCGGGATTCGAGCCCTTCGGTACGTCAGTCAGAGTCACAAACCACTATCTCGGGTGGTGTTTCTTTCCCCCCTTCTTAGCTCTATGGAACATTATGAACACCAACTGCTTCCTGGTTATTCGCTTATTAATTCTTCAATCCTTAATTATTAAACAATAACGAGTTTGATAATAATGTAGTATATGATCTGCCCTTTTAGTTAGTTATTTATTGTTTAGACAGTGGTACTAAAATTGTTTTTTTGTTTTAAGCATTTCATTTTCCTGCCATTTTATTGCACATTCAAATTTTAAAATAGAACTTTATTGGCGCCATCTAAGAAATAAATAAATAACTAAAAGCGGTAGATCGCAAACTACATCAATACCAAATATTTTTATTCAATTTCATTAATATGTATTAAGAACCAGTCAGGTTCTAAAGTTTACATAAAAGGGGGATTTTATTTTAAATGTACACTGTATAGTCAAATCCTAATTTAATGTCTACGAAATTAAATGATTTTTTTGGTTAACAAATTTTTAATCCAGTTTTAAAAAATTCTAAACTTTTCACCTAATAATAATTTTAAAGAATTTTTCTTGCAAAATGTAAGTCATTTTAGTAGTAGTAGTTTAATCACTTATAAAGTCTTATCCCATGCTAAAAAGAGTTATTCTCCCTTTAAATATCGGGAGGAGAAAGACACTTATAAAACTGCATCAATTATTGAGTCATTAGGTATTTGTCAAAGCAGTAAACAAGAAAAATCAATAAGGCCCTTGCCGAGATTCGAACTCCCACTTGCTTCCAATTCCACGAAGTTTTTACTGTCGACAAAATATTTAAAGAAATCACATAATTTCAACACATGCTTAATCTTGTTATACCAGTTTCATTTCGTTGAAACTTTTGGATGCAACTTACGAATATCAACTAAATTTTGATCTCGGTGACATTTATAAGTAAGAATTTCTTATTAAGAAAGAAATATTTGAAAGTTTTATTTTCGTCACTGCTAGAAAAATTGAGACATGAATGTAAAAGGGCACTTCTTTTGAATTTTTGCAGTTTGTTTTAGAATACAATCTCCAGAACAACGTTCCAGATATTGTAATACTAATGAGACCTTTCTTCTCAGTTGCTGAAAGTATTGCTAGTTGTGAAAAGGTTTTCCTAAATAAAAATCATTTAAGAAGTACTTAAGAACTACAGATGTATATTTTGCTGCATTAAGAAATCTTTCTCTACTTTCTATGTAGTAATAAAAGCAATCAAGTAAACCTCTACTATGTCACGTATGGTTTTGAGAGGTGAAAAAAAGCAAAATAATAATATTATTTGAAAATGTTAAAATTAAAGTTTTTCTTAAAAAATAATGTAGAGTTTGAATTTATTTCCCTTCGTTTTGACATTTTTTATAGTTATTTGTTTGTATATCAAGAATGACGGCAAATTCACTAACCGCTCAGCACTATCAGTAATTTATTTAAAAACAACTGGATTTTTAACTCAAAGTGCTGTAAAATACAGATACCATTTATTTGTTACATACTTTTTTATGTTTCACTTCATATTTATGCAGTTTACTTGATTACAGATCTAATTAAATACCTTGATGTAAGGAATTTGTTAAATTTGAATTTCTAGCATACAATTCCACCACTTCTCAAGATAATAGCTTTCATTTCTACTTGAAGATATTTTAAAAATCCAAATAATTTATTGACTTTACTTCTTATTTTTAATTCTTACTTATTTATCTTTTATAACAGCAGAATTTATAAATTTTATACTTATATTATTTAAATTTATTTATTAATTAAAACTACATAACCCCATATTCCTATATAAAAATGGTGGTATTACTCAAAGTGCTTACTACATTTAATAAGTACAAATTTATTAAATGTTGAAACAGTTGGTGGTAGTAGCTCTGAATCGCTAACACACAAGTATTAATGTATAAAAGAGAGGCTAATATAAAAATCAAAGCTGTTTGAATCCTAAAATGGAAGAAACAAGAATTTTTTAAATCTGTAATAACTCCGAGAGTGCTATGTAACAAATTATTTCCTAAAATATTTAAATATTATACTAGTATCATACAAATATATTTTTCTTTCAAGTGATACGATTAATTTATACAAGATGTATGTCAGAACTTATTAAAGAAGATGTAAACTTAAGTGAAAATTTACATATAAAGAATGATTACAAAATGAATTAAAACTTACTCTCCAACTGGATCTTCTGCGATCATATCGGTCAAGCGTTCGTCTGGCATAAGAAGGCATAATATTGCTGGTACCTCTGCCTTGAGAAACCAAAGATATAGAGCTACTGCCACTTGAAAGCCTTTTCTCTGATTTGGATTTCTTTGCAACAACGCTCTCCGATTCCAGAGATAATCTGCATACAAACAACAGAGGGTTTATTTATACAGAAGTAGGAGAAAATACATACATACTTCAAATCTCCAGTAAATTAAACTCATTTTATATACAATAAAGAAAGGAATAGAAAATATTAATTTTTTAATAAAAAATAATTCAATTTCTCATGAAAATGGTTTCGTGATATATTTAAAATCCATCTATGTACACAGCAAGTCAGTGGCCTCAAACTGACGGCCTCCAAAGCAATTTTAGGCGCCTGCAAAGAGTTAGTTATGGTTATTTCAGTTATGGTGTAGTAAAGATTTCAAGATTTTAGTTATTCGAAATTCGAGTTTACATTATTCTCATTTCCATTAAAAACGAACATGAATAACGCATCAGAAAATGTATAAGTGGAGCTAAATAATTTACAGTGTGATATAAATCTTATTCAGAGATTTGAAGATACAGATTTGATTACCTTTTATTCCTACTTGTCAAAACACACGTACACTCAGTTATGAATTTTTCCGCTAAAAATAATCGCTTTGTTTGGGAATACATTTATATGCGAACAGATTTTTATCACAACTGAAAATGAATGAGAAAAGCATCAGATTAACCGATCAGCAGATACAATCTGAGATTATTTCTAGTACTTTCTCATCAAGATTACAAGCTTTATCAAAATCGAACTCTATTTAGTGTCAAGCTATAGCAAGAAATAAAGAATTTATAATTATTTACATACAAAGATATGTATTTCATGAAGAAAAATGCTTTAAAAAAGAAAAAAGACTAGACCTGTTATGTTTCATTCTCAAGTTTTGTACCACCTGATAAATATTCTCTGAAGACTTACAAAATACATTGCAATTCGTTCATTTTTTAGTTTAAATGAAAATAAGTTATTAATTACCACAAATTAGAAATATCTGAAGATTTAATAGTTAGCTGTGAACATTGTTGCGTGCTTACGAGGTTACGGGTTCACAAGACATTGAATGCGCACAGAAACGATGATCGTTTTCCCAAAAGAAACATTTTACAGTTGTGGAACATTTCACAAAAATACTCGTACAGCTTCTTAGAGCACAATCAGTAGTTACCACAGTAGTATCAGTAGTTACAGAGCACAATCAGTAACGTCTACAAAAATTCTTGGAAAGAGAGCATTCTCTTGTTTATGTCTGCAGGCAATTTCATTGAATAATTGCTGTAATGTTAATCGGTTAGGCTTTAGGCTTTCCAGGCATGCAAATTCTGGCTGTCCATCGCAGTTTTAAACTTTTAAGAATGTTAAACACAACGCATTTCGCACGGAGATCTCTCAATACTACGAAGACTACTCTGCAGTGAAAAACAGAACTGATACTCTCTCCGGCCTTATACAGTTCTCCCCTCGGCCGCAGAGAAATCTCTAGTACCTTCCATTTCTCGAAATAACTGGAAGACATATACGGTTAAAATTACATGTAAGAGCCGGATACATTACAGTTGCATATAAGCATGAATTACAGTCACTCAGTTACAGCACCAATTACAGTTACACAGGAAGCGGATTAAAATGTCATGAAATGTTCGCCAGTTTGGCGACTTTTAGCTATTTCTCGCCAATTTAACGAGATAGCCTGAATGTTAAATAGACTTGCCTTTGTAATCTTATTTTTCTGACAGAGCTTCGCTTTTCTTGAAGCCGTACATGTTACATTACACAAAATTCGTAAGAATATATTTGAATTGCGAAATATAATCGACAAAAATGTTTTACAGGTAGCAAACTTTAGGTATCAGATTAGAAAATAAATATAAATTTGCACTGTTTTCCTTTGCGACATAGTTATTATTTATGTATGTTTAATAAATACTTAGCAAACTAAATTTAAAATTCGTTTCAAATATTTTTTGTTTTGCCAATAAAATTTTTCATTTTGTTAAAAAAAGTCTGGCCCTTCAGCTGTTTTTAGATCCTGCATTCGGCCCGCATGCAGTTCAAGTTTGAGACCATTGCAATAAATCACATTTTGTAGCCAGAACTTTCATAGCAATAACACAAATTCGTATCTTAACGCTTCTGGTGTATAAGTCTTTAAAGGCTGCCTATAAATCCAATTTATATTTCAGATGCATTTTCTAAATAAAGATTGAGATTCTTGGTATCTATAATAGGAATTATTTAATCTGTGGCTATCTTCTAGATATAGTAAAACCACATGTTTACGTGAAAACCTGCACAAAAAGTATCTAAATATACCTAATCTCTTTTAAAGATAAATATGCCTAATCTGTTTTAAAGAAACGTAATTACAAATTTTATATTCTATATGTTGAAATATCAAAATACTTTTTTAATTTAATGAGTTTTATTAAAAAAGAATGAGGAAGAGTGTTCCTCTCTTCCATGCAAATATCCTAGTCATTATACTTAGATGCATCCTACATATCATTATATTTAGATGCAAGAACTTGCTTCAGATGATTAAATAAGAACATGTATACATATATATATATGTGATAATTTAGTTGTGGACGAGAAAAGGCACCAGTTAATCTCTAAATTAAATTTAGAGTCCAGTTTGAAAATCTCTAAAATATGAGTTTTTAAAGTCCTTGAAACGTTTTTCCGAAATAGTATAAAAATGTTCTAAATTTGGAGTATGAACTCTTTTATGAAATAATTGAAAACGTGCACAGTTCTTGATATTTCAAAATATGTAAGATACAAAATATAAAAGCAAATTACTAAGAAATTACTACTTAATTGGGAATAGCCCTTTTAATTTCTGATTTTATTTGCCTACGTCCCCTACTTCAAAGAATATGTACTATGTCACTTTTCATTTTACCAGTTTTGATTTTTGATTTTACAGGTACTTTACACACTGGAGTTAGCGGCAGCGGTTCATATCCTGTCGACTTTAATTATATGTGACGCATTTAGTTGTGGACGAGAAAAGACACCAATTAACTTTGAAATCATGGACACCGTGCCGATAGATGTGGCAGACATGCAGATTCCGTCGTAACTAGATGGAATTTTCGAAAAACGACAAATAACTGAATAATCACAACATAGCTTTACTTCTTGATGACTAATTTATTAAGAATACCTTTTTGATTGGCAAACTATGAGTGCTATGAACGCAACATAATTTTATGTACGCAAATCACTTGTTAACAAAATATGAAAGCCACTGTTAATAATACACAACAAATAAAATTAGAAATTGAAAGAGCTATCATGAATTAAGTTAGTAATTTTATTTCATATTGTTAAGAATATTGTACATAGATAGAAGATTTTAGTACAATTACATGTGAAATTGTATTTCTCTGCGTAATGTAACATTTAAAAAAAAAAAAAAAAAACTAAGAGAGACAAGCTATGCCGGAAAAGTAAGAATACAGGGGCAACTCCATTTAACATTGAGTAAATGGGTATTTCTTTAATTTGGCGACATATCGTCAAGGTGGCAACAGTTTTGGCGACTAATTTTTCTCGCCAAACTTGGTGACCATTTGGCTGCATTTTAGTTCGGTCCCTGTATTACCGTAGTGTTGTTATTATCTTGTCCATATTACATGGAACAATGGTTGCCAGAACCTACTCCGAAGACAGGTTCGGCTTGTATTTTCCACCCCCAATTTTGAGGGAAAGCACCCCGGGGGAATTCGAGGGTCTAACACCCCTCTCCTCTTCTACCAATCCACACGAAAGGACTTTCGGCTCGCCGTATATTTAGAGTGCCGCCATGCCGCACCCATTTACAAACATCCATGTCTTACCCGGGATTCGAACTCGGGCCCTTCGATATGGTAGTATGCCCGTCTAACCACTATACCGTCTGGGTGACTGTATTACTGTAATAGATATTGTAACTGAATAAATGTAATTGATCACTAGCTGTAAATTTCGACCTTCATATTGCCTTCCAGTAATTTCGAGAAGCAGAAAGTACTAGAAATATCTCGGCAGCTGGGTGAAAACTATTTAAGGCTGGAGAGAGCACCTGCTCTCAGTTGTTGTTGTTGCGAGTTGTTAGTTCAGCGCAGGTTCGGAGTCATGATATATCTCCGGGTAGCTTTCCCTTTATGCTCTTTCACCTGTACGAGTATTTCTGTAGAAAATTCCAAAACTCTGAAACGTTTCTTTTGACAAAGTAATTTTTAATTAACTTATTATCAGCCCCGAGTGCGTTCAATCTATTACGAACCCGTAATAGATTGAATGAACGTAATAATATTTTGTTTTTTATGTATATTATTATATTACAACATAAATACAAGATAAAGTATCTCACAAACATGATACGTGATATACTGAAATCTTAGCAGTAAGAATTCACAAGATCTATTAATTTCTCCCTCAAATATTTTAAATTATGCATGATACTGATTTCTATGAATAATAATATATGCGAATTTCTAAGTTGCAAAATTTCACAGAAGCAACTTTTCATTTTGCTTTTTCTCAAATAAAAATTTAGATTACTTTAAAATTGTATTGATATTAAAAACATATTATTTTCCTGCGTTCATGTACTCTCAAACATATAAGAATTTCATGAGTATTCCATTGCGATACTGCAGTATTAATCTGGGGATTTACTGCCTCAGCAGTACTTCCCAGAACAGTTTACAAAGTTCCTTAGGAGCCTGAGAATGAATGGTACATGAAATGTGTTCCTTGTAGGAGGTCGTGGATGGTGAAGGAAAGAGAAGAGATGCTTTGCCTCTGTAGCAGCAAGAGTCGTCACGCAGCTGGTGTCATCTACAGCATTAAGAGCAGAAAAGCTTTCGAATATCACATTTTAAAATAGAAACAGCAATTAATTAACCTACACTAGCGTCTACAATAGAAATTCTCCGAAACAGAGCATTCATTTATTTACATTTGCAGGCAGTTTCACTAGATAATTGCTGTAGTGTTCATCGGTTAGACTTTCCTGTCACGCAAATTCTGCTTTCCATCGCAATTTCGATGTCATCAGTTGCCAAAGTGGCAAAGCGTTGCAACTGAATACGATTTAGCAA